AGACAAGCAGAGTGACTGGGGTGGGTGGGAAACCAGCTATGTGAACAGGTGGAGACCAAGTTGGCCGGCACACATTTTCCATGGCAGAAGTGGCCAAGGAATCTAAGGATAAAAGTACCTAATATAAAATTTTATGTTGTTTTTCATACTGGATGAGAACCACATGATTTTGTTCAACTGTTAACCTAAACTACAAGTTACTGTCTTGAACAAGTTACAAATAAAATAACGTGACTCTGATGTTAACTCTAACTGTTTACCAGCTGAATTGGTGAAAACCCCGGGGAAACTGCTGCTTTGAAAGTTGTCTCAGTCCTGGTGTGGTCCGCCTCCTGCCCTTTCAGCCTTCCAGTTGTCTGGCTTTCTTCTTTCCTATCCCATTTGTATTCTTTATGGCCTTGCAGAATTGCCCAATTCTAAGTTTGTTTTGTTTTGTTTTAAAACATCAGTTATGGAGAACTTTATCTTCCATCTGCCATCAAACTCCATGACATACTGCGTTTTGCTGTGTCCATTCTTTCTCTTCATTGTTTTTCTCCTTCTCCTTCTCTTCTCTTCTCTTCTCTTCTCCTCCTCCTCCTTCTTCTTCTCCTACTTCTCCTTCTCCTTCTCCTCCTTCTTCTTCTTCTTTTACTTGTGCTCATACTTCAGCTAAGAGAGGAATTGTATCGTGTACTTTGGCTTTTGGATGGCGGGAACAGCCTCAAACTTAAATTCATCCCCAAAATAGATATCCTTCAAGAGTGAATGACCCTATACTTCTGGTGTAGAATAATCAAATATTCCTCTGGCTACAACCTTTTGTGTGAATCTCATGAGTATAGGGCACATTTTAATCCAAATAGTTCTTACATAAACTGTCACAATCTAGACTCTCATTTCCTTTCCTATGCAGCCCCATTCTGTTCCGGGTTGGAGTTCATGTCATGGTCACTTACAGATGCTGTCACTGATAAGCTCTGACAAGCCACTGCCTGGGTCACAGAGCAGAGGCAGCAATGTGTTGATTAAGTCCACAAGTAGATGCAAGAAAGGGCACTTAAAGGAAAACTACATCTTTCCCCCACTGTCCTTCATTGTAAAATATCTCAATGATCACCACCATCAACAAAAATGTTTCCTTTAGCATACACCAAATGGTATTATTCCTAACTGAACCCTTCTGAGTGAACGATAAAAAGCTGGATACTTATCATCTCAGTGTCCAATTCCATGTTCTCTCTTCTACAATCCCACTTACTTCTGAGGTATGTTGTTATATTTTTAACTAGACTCTGTTTCTTGTAATCATTTTATCATCAACCTCCTGATTATGATTTTGCATATTGCCCTGCTTTTCAGCTCTCTTGAAATGTAGTTTCAAATGTATTCCCAGGTCTCCAAACTACAACCTGGAGTAAACATCCTGGAACTGCTAATATGCTTCAGAAAAATCAATTGTTATGCACAGGGCCTTTCCTCTTGGGACCTTCATTTGAATGGGATCTGAATATTCATTTTTCAGGGTTTAATAGCATCATCTCAGTCACTTTAACACATTGCCTTGGCAGCAGTCTATATCCAACACTTTTGACCTGTTATTCCTGTGAGAGTTTTCAATAGTTGTAGCTGTCACTACCAGGCAAAAAGAAGATTTATAAATTGTTCCTGTTTGGGGAGAGGCTTGCTCTTGTAGCTGATATTTAATGCATCAAATTAGATTTCTAAGTTTTGGGTATAATTTATAGAGTTAATATTGACTTTGTGCAGTCTCTCTAACATATTCTAAAATGCTTAAAATATACTGCTAGTCAAATGTTAGAGACTATAGTGTACATCGTTGATAATTAACATTTCTCCAGTAATAAGTATCTACAATAGACACTAGACTGGGTACTGAGATGAGAACCAGCTATACAATTCTCAGGGCCCAGTGCAAAATTAAAATGTTGGGTTCCCTCTTTAAAAAAAATTAAGAATTTCAAGCCCTGGTTGGCAAAACGCTAAACCAAATGTGAGACAATTATAAGTACTGGGCTCCTCTGACTTTACAGCTGCCCTGCCCACACAGCAGGCTTCGCTGGGGTTGTGATTATAAAGTCCTTGGCCTCAATGGATCCAAAAAGCACCACACCGGGCATATTGGGTTGCAAACTGTTCTAGAGTCCGTTTATGTAGAATTCTCAGGCAGTCCTAAGACTGTGAAGTATGCATTTTACAGTTATGTGAACCTAAATGCCAATCTATATTATCTGAGGTTTGAATCTTTTTCTTTTTTTAACTGTTAAAAGCCACAGACACCTGTCCCCCTCTCCCAGCCAGTCAGAGTAGTCTTTCTCACTTGCACGAAGTTCTCTGCACACAATAAGGTCAGTCTGAGAGTTGCTGCAAGTCTGGAGGATAGACATTCTCACTGCCTTTCCTCAGTGACTTGACTGGGAGAGGTTGGTGGTCTCCTAGAGTAGGAAAGGCCAGGCCTGTGTTTCCTGCACATCAACAGATCTGGGTGTCTTCTCAAGTCCTGACTTGATTAGTGTAACGGTTGATTTGGGGGAAGGCCACCCTCACTGAGAGCTCAGATGCAAATGAAAAGGTGGAAGTTAGGTCACTTCCCCTTTCCCTTTGGGATTTTATCCGCTGGCTGAGGGCCACACCATCAGATTTTCTAGGTTTGAGGCTTCCAAACTTGGACTGGGCCCTGCGATCCTCTTGTCTGCGCAGATGGCCTATCATGGGACTCCTTGGCCTCTGCCATCATGTTAGCAAATTCCCCAAATGAAACCCCTGTGGATCTTCTATTGGCTCTGTTTCTCTGGGGAATTCTGGCTAACACACTTGGCAACAAGTTTCAGAAAGATGGATAAAGTAAAGTGAGACAGCAGGTCCCTGCCCAGTCTGGCCCCTCTTTCTGAATAAAAAGAGCCACAAGGGAAACCAGAATCCCAGTCAGTGGGAGTGAGGAGCTGCCTCTGCCAGGGGCTGGAACTCACCCCACACAGCTTTCTGCTACACTGTCTGAGAACTGGGATGAGCAGGGGTTAAATCCTTATCATGGTTGGCTGGAGCCCCCAGACCAGTCCCCACTGGAACCCTTTCAGCAGCTGTGTCTCCAGTGCAGACCCTCCAGACCAGACACTGACTGGAGAGGAGTTTCTTAGGCACCCCAAGGTGTCTGCAAAGTGGACAGCAGAAGCTCTGGTGTGTGGTGGAACCTGGCTAGGGAGTCCCGAGCAGCTTTCTTGGGGAGCCAAGGCAAATATCTAAGAGGTGGGCATGGCAGAGGGTTTGACGGGGCAACTGGTGGCTAAAAACAGCATCGAGGATGGAGCTTAGGATGGGCTTGGCTCTGGGGAACTTATCCAGAATTGTGAAATCTAGAATGAATGAATTTCAGTTTCAGCATAGTTGGGCTTTGTGTTTAGGATTAAAGGTTTTGAATAAAGTTGATTATTAATACTCTGGGTGTGATGTGTATTAAAGGTCCCTCACTGCTTATGACCTCTCTGACAGCCTCACCTGGCTAGAACTCTCAGTGATTCTGCCTTTGTCTCACATGGAATTCCTCTGTGGACTATCCTTGTGCTTAGAGCCCCACAATAATGAACCCTTTAGGCAGGTAAATTAACCCACTTAGGGGAAGAGAGTAGATACCAACATCTTGAAGATCAAAGATAAGTATTGTTGCCAGGTATGGTGGCACACAGCACACCTATAATCCTAGCATTTAAGGCAGGTGGATCGCCATAAGTTTGGGGCCAGCCAAGGCTACATAATGAGTTCAAGGACAGCCCAAACTACAGAGCAAGATCCTATTAAAAAAAAAAAAAAAAAAAAAAGCATTGGGGCCAACAAGATCTTAGGATGCTCAGAAGAGGAGAGGTCTCACAATGTGGCGGGAATATGCATCTTGCTAGCGTCCTGAGATGGTCCCGAGCTCAACCTTCCAGCCTGAATATCTTTTTAACTCAGTGAATTCACCTGACATCTCTCCTCTGCCCTCCAACTTAAAGTCAGGCTCCTACTGAAAGCAGAGACTGGATCCTTATCCAACCCACATTTCTTCCCATTCCTTCCAAATGGGCCAGTGTGTACACTGACAGTGACTTTGTAAAGAACTCAGAAAATGCTTGTGTATGAGAAGATTGTGCAGAAATGCTAAGAATGTCTTTTATGCTAACTTATTCATTAAGAACTACAGTGATTCACTTAATTTTGTCCCCAGCGATACACTAAGATTTGAATGAAATGAGTGGATGACATTCATATTCTCATTTCCAGATGAGCAGGCTGAGGAAGATAAAAAGTTAACAGTGTGCTGAGTCGCACATAACCTGGGCCACTGGATCCTGTCGCTCTCCTGACCTCACCCCTTCCCCTCAGCCTCTCCCACCCTTATCCTTTCCCCCTCCCGGTCCTGCTTCCTCCCCATCCCATGTACTCTCTAGCATGCAGTAGCTTTAAAACATTTTCATATTCATTATCTCCTTGGTTTTTTTACATACTCCAACCAAGGGTAAATTATTAACCCCACTCTACAGATGAGGACACTGAGCCCAGAAGCTCAGGGCTCACTTTTAGGCCGCTGCCTCTGAAGGAGAGCTTAGCTATAGAACTTCCAGAGAACAGGAGGGGCTGGCGGGCTCATGAATATGGAGGGAGACTCAGCTGGGAGGAATCTTCCTGCCTCCTCACCTCCACCCTCAGCTGGAAAGAGGAATAAAACCTAATCATCTGCTGTGAAGAGCTGTTTTCCACTGAAGTGAGAAAGGCTGGCCCCCTGGGAGCAGAGGGTCTCTGGTGGATTTTACAGACTTAATGAAAAGTTATTTAAATGAGAGATGAGGGAGAGGAAAGAGAAAGAGATATCCATCCTTATGACCCGGACCTTGCCTTGTTGAATACCTGCATATGCATTTTTTAAATCGAATTTAATCCAGTTCTTTGGTAGTGCTTTTCCTCTTGGACAAACTATTGCCAATTCACTGGCAAAAGAAACAGTCTGATTTCTAAAGCATCTAGGCTTTCGCCAGACTTAAGATCCTTCGGACTCCTGTAATTACCCTCCCATTATTGCTACATACCAATTTAGTGTTCAGATTGAAAAATGGGACAAGTGTTTACCAGAAACCCATTTACTTGTCAACTTCAACAATGAGTCTGGGGTGAGAAAAAAAAAACACACTCCAGGTCGATGTATTTTTACCACCTGATGCTGCTGTCAATGTGTCATCAATTGAAAATTAGTAAACTTCAATCAATTCGCAAGGTCATAGCGCCTTCAATTTTGGACCGCAAAAAGGCCCTCCGTGCCCCTGATTCATAGAATCAGCAAAGCTCGCACTGCTTCTTGATGGAGGAAAATTGCTCAGCAGCCCCTGGAAAATGACTGGAAAGTATTTTCCAGTTCCCAACAGTGTCCCTGGGAAATGAGTCCAAGTAGAAAAGGCCGGGCCCTCAGCCTCTCTGCAGGATTGTGTTGTTCTTTCTTTGGTTTTCCTGTTTCATTATTTTTATTTTTCCTGTGTTTATGGAGGGGACTTGCAGTTATGTGGGCCACTGTCTCCTCCCCCAGGAGCCTCATACAGCGAAGGTTTGCAGTGCGCTTCCGCTCCGGAGAGTTCCAGATTCGGCTGGAGTTCGCACAGGCTTCTTATACCCGCGACTTAACCAACAGGAGAGTCGATTCCTCTGTCTGCTCCTATTGCGCTAGTTTGCCAAATACGTCCAGTTTTTCAGAATAATTTTTACTCATATTCTGAAATGGCTTTGGACCACTTCCACAGGAACCTGGGGAGAAAGCAAGCACTTAACTGCGCAGACTCAAATTGCCATCTTACAATGGAAGTCTCGACATCCTTTTGAAAAACAGCTACTAATACAATTTATGGTCCTGTTTGTGGCATAAGAGGAAAAAAAAAAAAAAAACCATGAAAGTGCTCGGCTCTGTAGGAAATGAATGGTTTATTAAACTGTTGACTGTACTATAATCCTGGCTTCAGAATGATTAACTAACAAATCCATCATCTAGAGGAAAGCTGGCTTGGCAGAGATTAAGTCTTAAACTATTCTTATTTGAGGGCATTGTTATTTAGTTTGTATTTAGAACTGTTAAAGAGCAGTGTGTGTGTGTGTGTGTGTGTGTGTGTTTGCATTTTAAATTAAAATAGATTTAACCTGTGTTTTATAACATGGCTATAAATATAATCTATATACTTTTACTGATTTTAATTGTTTGATGGTTTTTAAAAAGGCACCAGAATTCAAATCAGGGCCTTTCAAGATATTTCATCAGGATCAAAAAGGGTGCAGATATATCAGGTAGGATCTGATTGATAGAAGGCACAGAAATGTATGTTACCTGAAGATCAGAAGGAGGATTTATTGTCAGACTGTAATGGGGAATGGGGAAGTCTCCCAGAATCCCTGAACGCAGGTAAGACTAGGGAAAGCTTTCAGTTACAATGTATCCAGCTGCCAATCACAGAAACATATAATAGACTTCTCCCTGACATTGGTGGAAGTGTAGAGGTTGGGAGAGCATTCAGGTCAGGTCAATGTAGCAGTTCAGTGATAACAGCATTTGTTTCCACTCTCTGCTTGATTTCCACAATACCTGCTTGATCCTTCAGCTGGCTCCATGGTCACAGGAGAGCTACCAACAATTCATGAGGTTACCTCTTGCTGACAGTGTTGGCTTGGAACCTCAGGGGCTGAGACAAAACTTGAAGTGTTAACATTTTATTAGGATGTGGAATGTGATTTGGAATGCAGAAAGAAAAAGGAGAATGAGACTAGAAATAGGAACCACATGGGAGAGGGACAGAGCAAATACAACAGGAACCACAGCAGGGGTGCAGGGGATTCTGTGTCTTGGGACCATCCATTTGGGTGAAGGGATGAAGAAGAATTGATCCATCAAAACTTCCTAGATGGTCCCTGGATTCCTCCCTGCTGATCAGAGTCATCTATGGGATCTAATTTCTGTTCTCTTTCTGGTTCTATCCCCAGGCATCTCCAGGAAGCTGTTGGGAAGCTCCCTCAGGACCAGAGGGGCCAGCATACAGGCAAGGGTGATCTCTTTGCTGGTCTCTCTGTCTCTGGAGAAGAGTGACTGTTACTGGCTTCTTGCTGATCTCAAGGAAAGCAAATGTACACACTGGGGTAACACATACACAGGGTCTTCTAGGCAATGCTTCTTCTAGAACAGTGGTGGTGAACCTATGGCACACATTTTTGTTTTTCTTTTAAGACAAAAGCTGTGAAAGTATGAGCAATTTATTCAAAAGTAAAATATCAGTATTCAGGTTCAATTTCAGTGTTGGCACTTTGTAATACATAAGTGAGTTTGGGGTTGCCATTTTGGTACTCAGCCTCTAACAGGTTTGCTACCATTGTTCTAGAAACTTCTCTAGAAGAGTTTGCAAGCCACTATCTGAGAATTCCACAACAATGCTCTTATCCTGTTTCACTGACTCTAACTTTTGCTCCTAGCCATCCCCAGCACCTGTAACCAGCAGTAAGATGATGGTGAACTCAGTTTAGAGTCAATTGCTTATTTCCAAGGGCTGCCTGGGTAGCTGTGGATATCAGAGCATTGAAGCACTTCTCAAAGAAGAAAGAATAAATGTTGAGCAGACAGTTATAATGTCCACTTCAAGAAAATGCTCAGGAACAGAACTCAGAAAAGATTAGACTCTGTTTCTGCCCTCTACACATCTATTTCATTTCTCTCGTTTTAAAGATAGACTTTCTTTGATGCCCAGGCCGTAAACTAAAGCTTGGATTAGCATGAATGCTTAATTGTTCCCAGCCTAACCACATTCAAAGTGACTGAATTTTTCCTTTGTACATAATTGACTAGTTGGATTCATACCCTCTCCTAGATCAATCCAACTACAGCCAAGGGTAGGCTCATGGAATAATGCCTGGTTGAAGCTCACACCCACAAAGAGCTACATGCATGGGGGAAGGATATCTGTAAAACAAAGTAAATTTCATACCATTCCTTCAGAGACCCATTTTTATTAATTGTAAGTATCAGTAACTTAAACTGCATTGCCTCCAATAATACCTGAATGCAGCACCCCTGACCCTATTAACCTGTCCTGGTGCTAATCACATGCAGATAGTACCATTGGCTGGCTGGGCAATATTCTCTTAAGCTTCTCTTGCCTCTATGTTTATTTCAGGGAGGTAACAAAGCTTCACTCCATTCATGATGCTATCTAGCTCTACTTGTTGAAGTCTCTTACTTCTTGGGATGTCTGGGAAACCACTCAGTCTGAGTAGCTAATTCATTGTATAGATGCAGACATTCCACGTTAAAACGATATTCCACACTCTTCAGGTGTGTATTCATATGTCACTTGCTAGGCCAACTGGTAAGTTGGTTAGTGTAGGGCATGAGACCAGTCTAGAAGCTGCCTGCCATGCAGACTCGGCTCTGTCATTGTCTTGTTGGAAGAGTGGGTGCAGATGCTAAAATAAAGGGGCAAGAAAATTGTGCTTGCCCATTAAAGACACCAGATGGAAGCAAAAAATAGTCCTGAGGACAAATCCAACAACACGGAATAGAAAATAAATGAGTCCTTCAATATGTCCATGGATAATGTCTTAGTCTGTTTTGGGCTTCTGTAACAAACTGGACACTTTATAAAGAAAAGATACTCATTTCTTATTGTCTTGGGAAATCCAAGATTGAAGGCCTGTGTCTGGGCGGTGCCTTCTTCTACATCATCCTATGCTAGGGGGGTGAAGAGACAAGGGAGCATGAGATTAGGCCGGAAAGTGGGGCACACTTTTATTATAAAGAACCCATTCCAGTAATAACTGCATTAATCCACTCATAAGGGCAGAGGCTACGTGATTTGTCACATCTTAGTGTTCCTGCTTCTCAGTGCTCTCACACTGGTGTTAAATGTCCAACACATGAACTTTGCGGCATACATTCAAACCGTTGCAGAAAAATGAACTTTGTTTTATTCATACAGCAGAATGTTTCCATGATAAAAAAAAAAAGAGCTAAAAAGAGCTACCAGGCCATGAAAATATAGAGAGGAAATTTAAATGCGTGTTGCTAAATGAAAGAAGCCAATCTGAAAATGGTATGTACTGCATGTCCCAATCCATCACATTTGGGGAAAGATAAAACTGTAGAGACCTTAAAAAGAGCAGTGATTCTCAGGAATTTGGGGGAAATAAAGAATGAATAATAAAATAAGGGAACTTTTAAGACAGTAAAATTATTCAGTATGATACTATTATGATGGACTCGTGGCATATATTTGATAAGACCTATAGGAGTATATAACAACAATTGGACCCTAATATAAACTGTGAACTAGTTAATTGTATACCCATATTGGTTAACTGATTAGAACAATGTGGGGATAATCAAATAAGAGACCCTGCATGTGAGAGAAAAGATGTATGGGAACATTCTAGTCTTTGTTTTGAATTTGTCTTCAAGACTAAAACTTCTCTCAACAATAAAATCAGCCAGGCCTGTGGAGCACATCTGTAATCCCCGCACTCAAGAGGCTGAGGCAGAAGAATCACTGTAAATTCAAGACCCGCCTGGGCTGCAAAGTGAGCTCAAACCAAACCAATAAAGCCTACTACAAAAGGAAGGCAGGAATGTAGGAAGGAAGGTGGAAGGAGGGAGGGAAGGAGGAAGGAAGGGAGACAGAGAGAGAGATCATTGGACAAATATGAAAGGAAAGCAAAAACTAAAGGTCTGAGCCATGACCACATTTCCGTTGGGTGCTCAGATATAGTTGTGGGTTCTGGTTCCCTGTTCCCTCATCTTAAGAACTATGCTGTTTCATGAGAGTTAACTTCTATGAAGCACAACCTTTATGTGACTTCATCCCCTGCCTTCAGGTGGACTGTACACAAGATGACACATGATTCAAGTTAGACCAATTAGACTCAGAACAGATTTAGTTCCTTTCATCATGGGCGGACTGGTAATTAAAAAGTAAAAGGCTCGGGTAAAAACTGTGTTGTCAGAACATAGGTTTTGCTGCTGTTTAAGACCATACTTTGTTTCTTCGGGCATTTTGCTCAGTCTGGTCTTTAATAATAAATATTCTAATTCAGGTACCCAGTGTATGAACTCCTCAAGGATAAGCATTCTATCTGGACAATCAACCTTCAAAAAAATGTGTTATCCATGGTAGCAGAGGTGGCTATGACATGGATGATGGTAGAGGTATATAAGATTCAGCGAATCTTAAATTAGTCAGGTCATTTGTGAAATAACATTTTACGCCTTTGTCATTTCAAAGATGTCAAGGACAGACCAGGATGCCCGTCCACTCCTGCAGAACTGGTACTCTGTGTGTGAGCTGAGGCTTGCCTGATGCCAGGCACCCAGTCTCAGATCACTGCTTGTGGCAGTGGGCAGCTTACCAGGAGGAATAATACCCAAAGAGCTCTTATTGTTAGGCTTCCTATTACTTCATCTTCTCTTTCAAAGGCTGAGAGTACTTCGTGGTATACAACCTTTATTCTTGGTTTTCCTGTGAGATAGGCAATTAGAAAAAATTAGGACATCTTAGCACATCTGAACAATAGCCAGCCCTTCTTCATAGTGTTACCTTAAGATAGTGCGATGACATCAGTAACCAGTTCTGTACCCTCCCCCACACAGTGCAGACTGAGCCTCCTGTGCATGGGTGAGAAAGCATCTTATGAGCTGAGTGCTAATTAAGAAAACGATTGAGAAAATGAGACTAATGTCCTGCAAATTAAAGGCAGTCAATATGTAAAAGGAAATTCACTTTTTAGAAAAGAGAGGCAATCAAAATTGTCTAACAACAATTTTGACTGTTTTTAAAACTTGGCCCCAGTCTCTGCAACCCCTCTATCTCTCCTTGGGCCCTCTAGGGTTTTCTGAACAGAGGCCACACTGCTTCAAACAGCTGTATGGTTCCTGTAGGTGAGCCATTACAAAAAGAATATGGCTTCTGGGCATCCCCGATGACTCATAAGTCCATCTGTCCACTGTGTAAGTGTCATGGATCTTCCTACTCTCACTGTACAGATCCTGCTGGCGTGCAGAGTGCCTGATTGAGCTCTGGATGGGTGCTTTACCCAGACAGACAAGAGAAGGTCAATGCAGTAGTATGGCATCCTGTTATTGCCTGCAGATTTTAATGAATGAGGGAGAATTCCCTTAGGACAGCAGTTGCTAACCTTTTTTGGCACCAGTGGCATGGTTTGTGGACGATTTTTCAGTGGATGTATGTGTGGGTGGAGGTAATGATCATTTCTGGGTAAATCAAAGAAGCACCCAACTAGATTCTTTGTAGGCTCAGTTCACTGCAGGGTTCCAGCTCCTATGAGAATCTACCCCTACAGCTAATCCCAGAGGAGGCAGACCTCATGGTTGTGTCAGTTACGGGCAGTGGCTGCACACACAGGTGAGGCTTGGCTTACTGACACATGCTCACCTCTTGCTGTGAAACCAGGTTCCTGCAGCTCTATGCTGGGGGTGGGGACCTCTGTCTTAGGAGGCCCTTCTCTCTCTGCCTATGGGTTGCTGCGGGGACTTGGCTTAGTACAACTCCAACTCGTGTAACCAGGTTGCTGCTCTTACAGTTGTATACTTAGGCTCATCCGAAGTTTATGTGTAATTTAGTCTGGTGCTTCCTAAACTTAAGCTTCATACCCATCACCTTGGATCCTGTTAAAATATACAGATTTGGACTCAGTTGGTCTGGGGTGAAGCCAACAATTCTCTAACAGATGCTGCTCATCCATGCTCCCCATTGTGACTGTAAGACCTTAGCTCATCAAAACTAAGGACAGCATTTTTACCAACTTTCTGTCATTAGCAGAAAAATAGAGCCATGTGTGTCTTTGGATTTTTCCAACCTCTGATGCCATCTATAACAGGGAAGGAAAGTGGAACTGATGGCGCCTCTGTGATGCCCGGGCATGCAGTCCAGCTGCCAGCCTTTAGTCTGATTATCTGTTGATGATAATCTAAGCGACTTGAATAAGAAAGTGATCAAACTTGGTTTGTGACTTCTCCCTGCTCTAACATTATGATAGTGCATCAGGCAATGCAGCAGACTCAAGATGCCAAATTGAAGAGAAGAAACCAAATAAAAAAGATTGGAAACTTATGGTGCTCTACAGGAAACCCCACCACCAAGAAGAGTTGCCCAAAATAGAGGTGTGCTGATGGATATCAGCAGTCAGTGCTGTTCTCAGGGTAGAAGATAAACCACTCTGGTGACTCACCAGCAGTCACAGCTGCCAGGAGGTAGCAGTAGCTAGAGTCAGGCAATCAATTACTGCCTGGCAGAAGGAAACTTCCATGCAAACTTTGTCTCAAAGACATTTTTCATCCCAGGAAGGAGCTGGCTGGGACCATCAACCAGGGCAGAGTGACACGGGGAGTCTGATATGCCCCCTGAGATGTCCTCTCTATGGGTAGATTGTCACAGGTCCCACATTTCCAGCCCAGCTCCCATGCAGTGAGGATGTAAGAGGTGGGGGTGAGAGTCTCCAAATCTGCATAGAGGCCCATTTCTCTGGGACACTCCAGCATTTGTGTAAGTGAGAGGAAACTACAGTCTGAAATGTACACACTCCAGAGTTCCACATAGAGGAATGCATGCTCTAGAGTCCCATGTTGAGTTCTCTATTACAAGCAGAGACTTAGAAAAACTTCCCAGACACAAATGTCACTAGCATCAATCCAGAAAAAATTCCTCCTGTACATACGTTCACTTTTTCTTCCTTCCTGGGCCATTCTAACTCATACAGCTAGGACTTCCAAAGTCCTAGCTGACTCCAGAGACTAAGAGTAGGTGATTAACATGGTTTTTCATGGTATCAGGTATTCAAAACTGTCTGCTTTTAAGGAAAATATTCCCTAATACCAAGTCCTGGCCTAGAACTATGAGCAGAGCACACATGCTTCTTTTGTAGCATTGAAAGGAACCATATTGAATTATCAGTGTTGGTTGGCAAGATTCTTTGAGAATCTGTAGTGGATAAGACATTGTGTCAGGCACTATGAGTTATAAAAGTTATAGCTTGAATTTTCATTAGCTGTTGTGGAGTAGAAGTTGTGTATTCTGGCTTATAAATATTACACTTCTCCATAACAAGAACTGTAGGAAAAGAGAGCCTTCTATACCCTCTGAGAGTTCTATGACTGAATCTATGAAATAAACCAAGAGCAAACTGGGGAGGTATAAATGTTCCTTACATGCACAGGCACATCATACAAACAAAAAGTGAATCCCCCTAGCCCCAGTGTGATCTAGAAACTTACACACTCTTCACAGAATTGGGGAGGGGTCATATAAGCAGGTTGGGGGAAAGTGGTATTGTAGAGAAGTGAATGAACATCAGAATAGGTGACACCTCTGACACTCTGGGTGTGGTGTTAGCCTCCAGCCTGCTTTCTTGTGGTAGGAGTGCATCCTTCCTGGTCAGTGAGATTCCCAGGGAGGAATTCGTGACTACTGAGCTCCTTTTGAAGGATCTGTCTCTAGGCAGATAAGGTATGCTCAGAGAAAGCCCATCATTGTGTTTGCTACATTCTGAATGCCCTCTGTGTGGTGGCGTCAGGGTGCTAAAGAGACATCTTTGGGGTTGGCCTCTCCTGAACACCTTCAGAACAAACACGTATGGCATGTTACAGTTGATAGAGCACTTTTGTGTAGATTGTTATTTTTATGTTTAATTAAAATCATTATATTATAAAGCTGAAATTTTCATGCCACACAATTTTACAACTTAAAGTATATGATTGAGTAGATTTAACACATTGAGAGTGTACAACCATGACCGCAGTCAAATTTAAATCATTTTTGTTCTCCCAAACAAAACACTCTACCTGCTAGCTAACATCTCTCAATACTGCACCCCTAAATCTGGGCAACTACCTGTCTTCATAGACTTTCCTATTCTGGGGATTATTTTTTATTCAAAATAGGCCATGTTCACAGCAACAGTGAAGACCTTAATAGATCCAAAAAAATGGAAATCCTGAAAAGTGGCCTCTCACACCATATTGGAGTGAAACTATAAATACACAGCAGAAACAGAATACAATAACTTTTTTCCTCTCTCTATTTTCTTCATAACTTTTTCACAAAAAGCAAATGATGTGATATTCAAGCTTGTGTATATGATTTACTTCATGTAACACCATGAACTCAGGACAATGAGACAGTTTCCTACAATACCTCAAGTTTACCTTTCTTTAGGACAGAATCATACTTCATTGTCTACAAATACTGCATTTTCTTAATCCATTCATCTGCTGATGGACATTTAGGGTGTTGCAAGATTTAGCTATTATGGCTGGGTGTGCTATCATACATCTGTAATCCTAGCATTTGAGAGGCTGAGGATTGCTGAAGTGAGTTCAAAGCCAACCCAGATTGTACAGTGAAATGCTGTCTCAGAAAGACAAAATTAAAATACCAACCACCTGCTATTGTGATTTGTGATTTGTGCTGCTGGAAACATGAGTATATATACATCACTATGGGATGAGGTTTCTAATTCTTTGGGGAAGATAACCTAAAATGAAGAATAGCTGAGTCAAATGGAATTTCTATTTTTTAGCTTTTAAAGAATCTCCATATTAATTTCTACAGTGGTTTTATCAGCTTACACTCTCATCAACAATGAAGAAGTGTTCTGGGGCTGGGGTTTTAGCTCAGCGGCATAAGCGCCTGCCTGGCAAGTGTGAGGTTGTGAGTTCGATTCCTGGTGCAAAAAAAAAAAAAAGTAGTGTTTGTTTTTCCCACTGCCTTGCCAGTGTTTGTTATTGGTTGATATCTTGATGATAGCCATTCTTTCTAAGGTGAGATGGAATGTTAATGTTGTTTCAATTTGCATTTCTTTAATAGCCAGGGGTGTTGAATATTTTTTATTCTTTATATGTTCTAAATGTTAGTCCTTGTCTTACGAGTGGCTGATAAAATCTTTTTCCTATTCTATAGGCTGTCTCTTCACCTGCTGGTTATTTCCTTTGCCAGGGAAAGGTTTTTTATTTAATGTGATCCCATGTGTTGCTTCTTGGTATTATTTCTTGCATAAGCAGGTTATTATTATTTAGACAGTGTTTGCCCACATCTATGTCTTCGAGAGTGTTACTGCTTGTCTTCCAGAAGATTGTTTCTGTTCTAATGGTGACATCTTTGATTTATTTTGATTTTCATTTAATGTATAGTGAGAGATATGGGTCTAACTTCAACATTTGTTCTGTGGGTAACCAGTTTTCCCAGCATCATTTGTTAAGGCTATATTTCCTCTAGAGAAGAGATTGGGTCCCTTTGTCAAAGATTGTATAGCTGAGTGTGTCTGGAGTTGTTTTTGTGTGTTTTGTTCTGTCGCATTGACCTATATGTCAGCATTTTTTTTCCAATATCATGCTGTTTTTATTACAGTAACTTAGTAGTATAACTTGAGATCTGGGATTCTGATGTCTCCTATCTTGACCTCATTGTGTAGAATTGCTTGTGTTATTTTGTTATTCTTAGTCTCT